ATCAATATGGCTCTACAATTCGAGCTATCCTCAGCTGGGAGTCCAATCTTCAACATACCCAAGACAAGTAGGCACTGATGACATAGGAATGAGAGATCTGCTAACTACAAATGGTTCTATGGAGTCTTAGGAAATCCCAATGATATACTAAGCATGACAAGAAGGTTTGGGATTAAAGAAAGTTAATGATGTGATTGGAATCCACTCGAAGATGTGAGCGGAATTCAGAGTTTTAATAATGAGGTTTGGTTAGAGGTTCAAGGGAAGTTTATCCATGACCATCAAGATATTGATAGTATTACTGGTGAAGGTTTTAAGTTTGTTTGGATCAAGAGACCTCAGCTAAGTATTTGAAGGAGTAAAAAAAAGAGGTTGAGGTAAACCCTATGTATTAGCTTTGCTAGATCAGGACAAGAGCTTTATATCCACTAGGATGCACCATGTCAAGGTGTGGGATGTGTCCTTATGCAAGAAGAAAAAATAGAGGTTTAAGCAAGAAAACATGAGATGGAACATCTGACGTATGATCTGGAGTTATCCATTATGGAACATTGAGGTACTATTTACTTGGGCATGATAAGTGACATCTACGAGGATCATAAGAATCTAAGGAACATCTTCACAAAGTTGGTTTTGAGCATATGACATCATCATTGGAATGAAATTGATTATGCCTTGCAAAAGTGCTATCACTTGGAGAAGCAAAGTCGTGGCCGATGCCCTTAGCAGAGGAGAGTTATGCTAAGAAGATTCGGACGACACCATGGACTAAGTATAGTTGTTTGAGAGTTGAGCAACTTGATCTGAGTATCTGAAGTCATTAATGTTTTAAAGTTGGTAATAGAATCTACTTTAGACCAAGAAAGTAAGGAAGCTCCATTAGAAGGTGAATATTTTAAGAAAAATAATTGATATTATGGACTAAAAAGGAAAGGTGGCCTAGTGATTGGAGTTACCGGAGTATTATTTGGAGTACCTTTCAGAATCTTGGAATCAGTTTGACAAGTTACTTGGAGTATGGTTAACAGGTATGCAAAGTAGAGAAGAATCCAAAGGCGAAGAATCTGCATCTCTTTTGTCACCATCTCTGCGAATCTCGAGGATGAGATTCATCTTAAGGGGGGTAGAATTGTAACACCCTAAAATTTGCTTCTTTTGAAATATAGCTAAAAAGATTTAATTTTGAATTTTTGTGCTCATAAAAACATAGGAAATAAATTTTTTTATTAAATTAAAATTCACCATAAGGTGTAGCAACACTATTTTGTATACATGCTGGTGCATTTGTTTCTTTGTACTGAGTGGTTTTGGTTCAAAGTTCAAACCAATTCAAATAGTTTTTGAAAATGGATTTGAAATAAGCTTTGAAAAAGAAAAAGAAAGAAGCCTTCCCTTTTTAGTTTGGCCCGAAGGCCTGCTCCCTTCCCCTTGCGCCCCATCCCTCCCTCTCTGTTTCTGGGCCGGCAGCGCCCACAACCCGCTCTCCCTTTCCCCCTGGCCTGCTCCGCTCTCCCTCTCTCCCGCAGGTGGCCCAACCTCACTCTCTACCGAGCCGGCCCAGCAAGCAGGCCACGCCACACCATGCCTCCTCTTCCCTTGTGCGTAGTCGCTGATAGCCCGGCCTCGCATTCCATGTCACTACCATCTCGGGCCCACTTGTCAGCACCATCCTTTACCTCCGTCGTAGCCGAAGCAGACTCCGCCGCTGAGAGTCCGAAATTGCCCTGCCTCGTCTGCCTTGCCGTGCGCACCAAGATGCTCCCTGGGCCATAAATAGTAGCCATCTGCATCGTGCCGCCTCGCTACCGAGCTCTAGAGCAAGCTGCATCCGCCGAGTCGCTGTGCCACTACAACCCTAGCCGCCGCCACCACCGTTCTCGCCTCACAGTTCGCTAGGAGGTAAGCAAGCTCTCTATGTGCCTTCTGTTACCGTAGTGCGGTCACCATTGTTTCGTCGGAGTCTCGATCACCTCGATCGAGCTCATGCACGCCTCTGGCCTTCGCTTGTCTTCCCGATCCCCTAATCGAGTTTGACTCGCTCCGCTCTCCCTCCCCGTGCTAATCCCGTGGCCGATGATGCCCGGAACGTCGAAAATGATAAACGTCGGTGAGGTCCTCTGTTCTCCGGCCATGGCGACGCCGCACATAGCACCGCTCCGGCGACCCCCGTTTCCCCCATTTGGTCTGCACCGCCCGATCTGAGATCAACGGCCTAGATTAGAAGATACCCCTTCGTCGGCCGTTTTGCTAAAGAGTCCTCACATTTTTGTAGAATAGAACCTGTTGTCCCTGCGATTTTGTTAAAGAGCTCTGTCTTTCTTCAAAATAGTGTCCGCAGTCCTTGACCGGTTTAAAATCAGATTTTATCTATTTTAAATTCGAAAATCAAATTTCATCTATTTACAAAATTGCCACTATCTTCATTAAGCCATATCTTCTCCGTTTTAACTCTGATTTGACCCGTTCAAGTTGCGTTAGGTTCGTAACGATGTAATCAACGTGTTAGTAACATAGTTTAGCATGTTTAGAGCTTTTGAATAAAATAGTAATTTGATTAATCTATATGAAGCTACTTTTCAATTAAAAGCAACTTAGGTTATTTTTACCTCTGTCTTTTGTAAATAAAATAAGATTAATCTTATATTGGTTTTCTAATACAAATATAATTTGGCTTAAAACAATTTAGATATTTCTCTGAAGTATCTTATATATGTTTTATAATTAAAATAAATAGAGCCTATAGTTTCTTTTCGAAGCAAATCTATTGGTAGATGTATCTTTTTCACCGTAGCTTCGATTAGAGTGTTTTTCGCATCTGTGTGTTCGTAATAACGTGTAGAACATCTTTAAAATCTTTTCACTTAATGTTTATTATGTTTGGTGTACTATTCTAATTTAGATCTATTGTTCGCTTCGTGTATAATTGCATGGATGCTTGTGTGGTGCTTTATGATCTTGTCCATTCGGTGAGCTTTACGTGTTGATTAAGGAGTTCCTTTGAAGTTTTGGACTTGAAGAAGGATCAGGGTTTCAAGGCAAGTATAACATTGGATCTTCCTTGTTGTCCTATTCACCATAATATCATTTTAATCATATGCATGTGTCTACCTTGACAACCATAGTAATTTTCCTAGCTATTTGATATCCTGGATTCATTGATTCCTATGAGGTATTGCATTGGGTAGTATGATGCTAGTGCTCAACTACAACCATGATCTTATAACTTGACTAATGGTATATGCAATAAACACTAAAAGATGCTTTTTAGCAACATGAAACAAGGGGGCTAGAGCATTGGGCTATTTTATGGTGCTCTAGATTCCTCTCCCTAAGGACTTATCTCTAAGTGATCATTCGAGACTTACAGTACAGCTGTGAGGGCTACATGGCTCTGGCTTTAGCTCAGTATGAGGACCTTTTCTAGTTGTTAGTGGTTACCTTTATCGGTGTAAGAATCACTTGATAAATCGGGTATAGTGTGGCCTCTGTCCCCTTGTGTATAGGCTGCGCGTCATTGTACCATCAGGAAGGAGGGCTCTACATCTGTTTGCTGAGTGAATCTAATGGCCCTAACTTGTTAGACGAACCTTTGAAAGACTTCATAGTGAATCCTACCGACCTTCCTTGGAAGTGGGTCAAGAGATTAGCTACCTCGGACGAAAGGGTAAATCATGACTCACAGTGAAAGTATACAACCTCTGTAGAGTGTAAAACTGGTATATCAGCCATGCTCACGGTCACGAGCGGCCTTGGAACATTTACGGAATAGATGATCATTAAGGGTTAATGATGATGAACACGAATGGTACTGATGATGAAGATACTCACTAATGATTACGGTTTATGATATTCCTTATTCATGTTTACCTGATTATGTTTTTATATGGGCTTATGAATAAACTTGTTGCCACCCAATTGCTAAAAGATGACTCATTAAAAGCTAATTGGAGTTAAATCAGTATCAGTCTTTTGAGCCTCATGAACCCCATGTTATATTTGTTGAGTATAACATGTACTTACGCTTACTTTACTTTTAAAATCTTTAAGAAAATCCTGAATGGATACCAGATTGCTAGAGTTTAGAGGAATTAGGCTTGTGATCAACCAGTCAGTTGTCCCTGTGAAATTGGAGTCTTTACCCGATGATCGGAGTTGTCTTTCCACTGTTGTTGTCTAAGGTTATATCCTTTATACTAAGTACGTTATATATTGAGCATTGTCTTTCGATATTACCCTTATTTGTAGCTATATGTGAGATTTGACTTTCTGGGCTCACATATGGTGTGTATCTCGTTTTGTTCTTAAAACCGGGTGCTACAATGTTTCACCAATTTTACAGAGAAGAATACCAATATTTTTTGCACCCAATAAATATACTATGAAAATATATTTTATGGTGTATCTAATAATACTAATTTAGTTTTGATAAATATTGGTGCCCTTCACCATAGATTCGGTTAAAATTAAGATAATTTTAATTTAGAACAACTCTATAAATTGATTTGTTTTGTGACGGGGAGAATAATTACACAATAGAGTTCTAATATGAGATAAGATTAGGAGAAAATGGTTTAAGAGTGATGGGAGACACGGTTTCCAATTGTCACGTGGATGATTCGATGTATTCTTATTTCATCATATAAAAAATATTTTCTCAAACCACAGTACCTAAATTTACACTCTCAAACACGCACACATACTCACCCCTTGCAGGGGCGGATCTAGAACCCAGACTAGAGGTCCAGTCTATAAAACTTCATATACGTTCAAGTTTTATGTAGTGTAGATTAATGAAAGTTGCTCCACATTGGATCAGTCCTGGCCCAGCTCATATCAGTGTCCACTCCATATTCTTGGTCCTCCCATCTAAACACGCGCACTAAAACCATACTTCTACGAGCACCTATAAAAGATTGAGGAGGTAGATTTCAAGATCAACTGTACAAAATGCTTTTTTTAAACAAATTGTACAATGCTTTTTTGAGATGGTTATAACCATGTCACTTGATGAGGATGCATCTTGCAGGAGAACCTTCAGCACCCCGCAATCTTAGTGGCAAGCAATGCAAGGTGTATATGCCAGGGCTAACATGCTCCAGATTTAAGGCTTCCACAAGGATGACCTCCTAAACGGATGAAAAATATCAAGTTCAATTAATTAGGGTGTGGATATTTCTAATCTGTAAGTCTCAAAGTTTGTGTATATATCAGATTGCTAAAAGTCAAGTGTATAGGATGGAAATATTACCCTTTTTTCAAGAAATACCAAATGAGCTGGAATGCATTCATCAAATGCGCCCACCGACAAGTAGTCAACTCCTGCATGAACTAAAGGATGTTATGCTAGAAGAAGAAACATGAGATGAGTAGAAGAGAAACATGGGGCCGATTATTAAATGCTTAGCATAATCTAGTACACATTCGTCATCCAGATCTTATTTTGTGATTATTTCTGTACCCAAAAAATCCGTTTAATTTGTTACATCTTGCTATGCTCTTCATTCAAGTGTATTTTTCTTCCTCTCACAATAAATCAAGATCTCCAAGCATCCATGCAATGTTAGTTAGGCGGAGTAGATAATTTCTACCAGCAAAACAAAAGGATCAAATAGTAACACAAATAAGCTTGGTGCAAACATGCCACTAAATTAACTAACTCTTACTAGTAACAAGTGTATCACAGTTTTGTAACTTACGTTAGCCAGCATGATATATATATATTGTGAGCTCAGATCATGCACAAAAGCTCAGACCGTATGAAGAAACAACAGGATCAAAAGTGTACAAGATTGTAAGATTGAACTTAGAAAATGTTGTTAACAATGTCTGTGTCTTCCATGTATAAAAATTGTTTAAACCATTTGCTTAAAGTTGGAGTAATTGTTCATATATTGACCTATTTCACTCAATAAAAGATCTAAAATATTGAAGTGCAGAAATGACTCAGATAGTGGACACTTTAGGAATAAAAAAAAATCTCACTTGTATCTGCCCTTCATTTTCATAGGCAATTGCTAATACCTACAATTAACTAGTACTGATAAAAGGGACATAAATATTCTAAATTCAATAGAAATATTGTTGCAAGGCCACAAGTGACCATCTAAATGGAACTAACTTACCAACTAGTTTGATGTCGGTATTATCAACCAACCATTGTGCACCATCCTTCATGAAGCCAACATAACTTGTATCAAATTCTTTCTTCCACATAAGCTTTCGGCATAAAAAGTATGGTGTTTTAACACATTCGACAATTGACACAAATTTTGGCCCTACTTTTGTCACCCATGAATATAGATTTTTTTCACTTAGACTTCTCAAATATTAAAAAGGTAACAAGACCATTAATGAAGAGGCTATTCTAAGATTAATAAGGTACTCCCTCTGATTCCAAATGTAAGACGTTTAGAACATTCACACTGCCTCCAATATAACACTTTGACTTGTTTTTGTTTGGTAAAAGTTTAATATCTTAAAAACAGAAAGTTATATACTATGAAAGCATTTTCCATGATGAATATATGCATTATCAATCTATGTATCTTTTTATGGCCAAGTTGAAGAAGTTTGGCAAACTAGAATCCTGAAACAACCAATATTTGGAATTGAAGGGGGTATTAAAATCAGGTAATCTTCAATGGGTCAACATTATTCCAAATGGATCTAATTTATTTAGGTTGAAACTGTTGTTGGTGATATGACAATTACGTGCACTAGGTCCAAAACCATGAAAATCATAAACAGATTAGCCATTATCATGCTCGGTATGTTGAATCCATCGATAAGGGAAATGTAGAAATGGATGTGTTTGCATGTGCCTATGCATGTTCTTTGGACTGTGTGATATGGAGGTAAAACATACCTGTCTGTATTTAGGGTATGAAAGAGTACACGTCGAACACCTCTACGAATGTTTAGGGATGCCATAACGTCAGCTACAATGAGAAAAAGAGGCAATATCTTGTGACTTGTCTTGAATCAAACTCAGTGTTACATACCTATCATATTAAGACCGTTTTTAATCTAAAAGCACTTGCGAGTTTTGTTAACTATTCCAAAAGCACCACGGGACGTTAGATAATGCTTGGTCATTGAAAACCTAAGATAAACACCAAGATATCCACCTGCAATTTACAATTTGAACCGCTTATGGAAATGTTTTTTTAGATAATAGAATAGAAGTATCCTAGCCTCCACATCAGGGTGATGCTTTAGGTGAGGGTGTATGGATAATCATTTTTATAGTTGTGTGATGGTGTTGAGGGCTATCGAAAGTAGGGACCTCATTTGGTGAGGAAAAGTAGGGTATACACAGTATATGACAACTAACATGAGATTGTTTAATCAATAGATCTTATTTATCAAAGCTCTACATCAGGTTTTCAATATTATCTACTATTAGCTAAACATAGCAGGGTTATGGATGGACATATGTAAGGAGCTAGAGTTAGAATGTTTGACACAGCTACAACTCTAAGAAATCTTAGAGCTAGTCATCTCAAGTTTCATAAAGCTGCAGGCATACTGAAAGTATTTGATTGGGCAATCTTATTATTATTTTGTTCTAAATACATTCTCTAAGCCAAATTATATAATCCTACAAAAAAAGGGAAAGGTGAGGATCTTGGCTAATGCTAATTTACCAGCAAAGTATGTACTGCAGTAGTGTTTGCAATTATACTACTAAAAAAAAGTATATGCTGGTCTGTTGTGTCTGTCTATTTTACCTGTGATGTTCTTATCTCTGGGAACGTCAACCAACAGCGCTGGCCCTGCACACCGTTTCAACTCACAAGTTGAATTTCACACCTCAAATGAAATTAATTAGTTTAATTCATTTCTACTTACTTTTCGAGATAAAGAAATCCTGCTTAACTACAGTATATACTGAAAGCATCATGATAGTAATATACCGTTGAGGGCGGCGAGGTCGAGCGTGTCGATGTCGAAGCCGGCGTCGTAGTAGTGCTCGAAGACGTGTCCCGGCGCGTCGACGTGGGTGCCGGAGTGCGCGGTGAGCCGGAGCTCTGAGAAGTTGGCGATGTCGGAGCCGTTGCGCATGGACCACGTGAGCTGCAGGAACTCGCCCGTGCCCTCCGACGACTCCCACCCTGGCATGTCCTCGCGGTAGTAGTGGCTGATGTCCACAATCTGGCCGCCGTCGAACTCCTCGCGCCGCTCCGGCGCCGGCACCACCAGCACCGTTGCTGCCTCTGCCCATGCCACGCCGCCGCATGCCTCCTCAGCGTGCGTGTAGCCTGGGTGCACGGCAGGCTCGCCCAAGACAACCGCCACCCCCGGAAGCAGCAGCAGCTGGGTGAGAAGGAGCAGGGGCGCGAGCTCCATGGAATGGATATGCCTTGGACTTGGACTGCCCAGTGCAGTGCAGATGCCACGTTCGTGTCAACACCCAGCAGCTAAATAAAGCACACTACAACTGCTTGATGCGCCGCGGAAGTCAAATATTTCCACATCATTGCTTACGATCGTGTTGAACAAAGTGTTGCTTTCTCCTGGCTTTATTTTTGTGCATAATAATATGGAAAGAATAACGAAGGAGGAGGTTAGAGATACTATACCAGTATACTACTCCCACTTTAGCAGCTTTTGAATGTAGGGCATCATATCATATAAGTTGATTCCACAAGCTTTAGTTTGTTTTGTTTAATTTAAAAGTACAATGCAGGTATCCATCGGTTTCATAAACTACAGTTTTCAAAAGACCGTTGGCCACCAGCTCCTTGTCATCGCTGTTTGTGAATTGTGATGCGCAACACGTTTGATCACTACAACAAATACATTATGTTTGCCTTCAACCCCGTCAACATCATTCAACTGAACTTGGGGCAAACCAGTCTAAATTTGATTCTTCTACACCATTACACCCTAACCATTCCAGAAAGCCTTCCAATCTGATCCTTACGATCATCATTTTACCAAAATCAGTTGCACAAAGTGCTCCATTCAGTGTGCAAAACTTAAACGACCAAAACAAACTGTAATAACAATTGCTGCTCATGGAATAAGATGGTAGGGAATCCAAAGAGGTATAATGATTGGTCACAAGTTGAATATCTGAACAGGCCAGCTGCGCTTCCGGCCATCTGAACTGATTGCTGTGGTTTCAACCGATATGTCTATGCTACGGTGCTCAGATGCCCTCACAATGCTTATCCGAGACCTGAGCATCGTAGCTGGGCACTCATCTGTGCCAGCCAATGCAGATGAAGCCGGGGTTGATCCCTCCTTCGCCATTGCAATGGGCTCTTCAAAGGTGAAGATTGTTTGTGACCAGTGAGTTGGCGTCAAGAAGGGAGAGGTCGAGAGGACAACAGGCTTCTCCTTGCAGAATCTGTTGGTAAAGCCCGTGTCAAACCACAGGACAATGCCATAGCACCAGGTCACTCCAGGCACAGCGGCACTACTTTCGCTGAGCCTCAGCTCAAAACTTGCAGTAAAATCCATCTCACTTTCCTTCATACTTGCAAGATCAAAGGACTGAATACAAGAAATAGAAGCAAGATGTTAGTATAAATCCCTTAATTCAAAGTGGCATTTGAGTACATTTTACCGAATAAGGGCGTACCCAGTGCAGAGAGCTCCCGCTCTGTGCAGGATCTAGGGAAGAGTGTCAGTGGCAAGCCTTACCCTCGCCTGTGCAATGGGAGAAGACCGCGACTCGAACCCGGGAAATATCATAAGAGTACAATTTGGGGGTTTTTTTTAACAAAACTACACTTTCTAAAACCAGTTTCACAAAACATAGGTATCAAAAAAATACACTTGAATCATTTTGTCGGTGCAGAAACTGACCAACACGTAAATATTTGTAGTTTTGCCGTACGTTGTGATCGGATGTGGCCTAGGACTCAATGACACAGGGTTTATATTGGTTCAGGCAACGTACCCTACGCCCAGTTTGAGTCGGTCGGTGACTTTATTCCTGAGCCCAGGTGCTCGAAGTTTACAGTGGGGTTACAAACGAGAAGGAGAAAGATGGGGGGTGCAAAAGGTCCGGTTGGACTCTGGTCTGAAGGGCCGAGAGTGACGGGAGCTCCGCTATGTGCTAAGTGTTTGAGCGTGTGCTTGAGACTCGAACCTGGTGGTTCTGTTGTTGTGTGTGAGTGAACTGATCGATCGCATTTTTTTGGGAGAGAGCGCATCCCCTTTTATAGATGAAGGGGATGGCCTTACAAGTGAGAGAGGGAGAGCGTACGTATGCTAAGTCTTGTTACCCACGCCGTCGGGTACATGATGATTGTAGACGCTCATAACACTGTTAATGTCAGATGCATGTGGGAGGTTGTGTCGTCTTCTTTTGGTATGGTAGACGTCGGTGTCTGCTATACTGTTGATGCCCAGAGGCATGTAGGGGGTTTTACCATGTTCGCCTGGTATGGTAAACGCCGGTGCCCGCAACACTGTTGATGCCTAGAGGCATGTGGGGGGAGCCTTACCGTGCTTGTCTGGTATGGGAGTTGATGGCGCCCACAACACTGTAGAGAAAATGTCGGCGCCCACAACACTGCTTGTGTTCTGACATGGCAGGAAGGTTGCAGGGTACTGTCCTGCAGGTGTACAGGGTACGGTCCTCGGTATTGCGGTTGACTTGAGTGCCCTTCCTTACTTACTCCGTCCGTTTTGTGGTCCTCACCGAGCAGGCATCCCCGGTCGGTTGGTCCCAGTCGGCCCTGATTGCGCCAGTCGGAAAAGAGCTGTAAGCAAGGGTTTGGCGCATCCCCGATCGGAGACGAGGGCCAGAGTCGGAAGTGGTGTTTGGCCAGGCCTTCCGGTCGGAGAGGCCGTCCGGAGGCGGGCCGGAGTCGGAAGCGAGTGTTGTTCCTCCTTAGTGAGGCCTTCCGATCGGAGAGGCGGACCGAAGTCGGAAACGGACAACGTTCCTCCTCGGCCAGGCCTTCTGGTCGGAGATTGAATCGCCTTTCTGGACTGTTGTTTAGGTATTTGGGCCGGCCCAGGAGTTACGCGTCGTTCGCAATGTTGTCTGCTGGGCCGAACCTTTGTTGGGAAGCCGGTCCATGAGGGACCCCAGGTTTATGAACCCGACAGGAGCCCCCGAGCGATTCGGGTAGAATCGTTTGGGGGATTTTTATTTTAACGGCGGGGGCGCGCGAGCGCACCCGCAGGTGTGGCCCCCGAGCCCCCGGGTGATTCGGACGAAATCGCCTGGGGGGTTTTGTCAGCGGGCGTGTTTTAGGGATCAGGCGAGACGGAGTCGCGGATCCTAGCGTCGGACGTAGCCGAGGCAGTTTTAGGGATCGGACGAGACGGAGTCGCGGATCCTGGCGTCGGCGCAGCCAAGGCAGTGTTTTAGGGATTGGGCGAGACGGAGCTCACAGATCCTGGCGTCAGGCGCAGCCGAGGCAGTTTAGGGATCGGGCGAGACGGAGCTCTCGGATCCTGGCGTCGGGCGCAGCTGAGACAGTTTTAGGGATCGGGCGAGATGGAGTCGCAGTTTCTGGCGTCGGTGCAGCCAAGGCAGTGTTTCAGGGATCTGGCGAGACGGAGCCCGCGGATCCTGGCATCGGGCGAGACAGAGCCCGCGTATCCTGGCATCGGGCGCAGCCGAGGCAGTTTAGGGATCGGACGAGACGGAGCCCGCGGATCCTAGCGTCGGGCGCAGCCGAGGCAGTTTAGGGATCGGGCGAGACGGAGCCCGCGGATCCTGGCGTCGGGCGCAGCCGAGGCAGTTTAGGGATCGGACGAGACGGAGCTCGCGGATCGATCGAGTGAGTCGGAGTCGCGGACCCAGGCGCAGCCAAGGCGTTTGGGTACCTTGAGCCCCTGAGCCCCGTTGGGTTTGGTAGGGGTCGGTTGAGTTTTGTGCGTTACCCCATCCGCGGTTTCTCGCAACCGGATGGCTAAGCTAACGTCGCTTGCCTCGATGGCTCAAGTAACTCGTTCGGTGAGCTCGCTAACGGGCATGTTCGAGTGAAGTCCGGGTCCGTCGTTCGTGACGGGGTCGGCACAGCCCTCATGTGGCACTCCACTGCTCCTTAACCTACAACCCGGCATATGCCTGGGTCGTTCCAGAGACCGACCCGGGTGGCCCGCTGGCCTCCCCTCGATGGAGATTCTGTGGGTTTGGCCGAGGTTAGGATCAAACGAGAAGGTTGAGATGACCTTGTTTGCTTCTTGGCTCATCTGTGTTTTTCTCCCGACTCTGTTTGACGCAAGGCGGCCTCGAGCCCTTCGTGAGCCGGCCTTCGAACCCCGGTCGGTCGTTGCTCGTGTTGAATGAGGCAACTGCCGCTTCGTAACGCAACACGGAGCGTTGTGATGCATTTCACTGCACATGCAATGCCTCGGATGTATGGAATGAATACGTGTATAGATGAATGAATGATTATAAAAAGAAATAGTGGGGGTTGATAATGTTACCTTGATTACTCGAGTGATGGGGTTTGAGGAGCTCCAATCGGAAATGTCCGACCGGGATCCGCGCTCGTCGTTCGTGACGGAGTCGGCATGGCCCACATGGGGCATCCCTCTGCTCCTTATCTGTCTCTCGGTGTTTGCCTGAGCCGTCCGATTGACTCAGGAAGCCCGATGGTCTCTCCTGGGCGGAGATCCCATAGTTGGGCCTTTCCAAGTCTCACCTAGGAAGGTGGAGGGCCGCCTGCGTGTGGTGGTGCTTTGTTTCTCGCACCTGGCGTGCGGTAGTGGTGGGCCATACCCCGACCACATCCTGTCTGACCAGGCGCCGTCCCGTCGTTTCCCATCCGCATTGAATGGGGGAAGGGAGAGGGTTTTGCGCCCCAATCCTTTGCCTTTCTTTACCTACTGCATCTCCTCCTTAAATAGGGGAAGGGAGAGGGAAAGGAGAACTCACAGACCCATTCGTGATTTCGGAGCGCAATGTCGAGCTGGAGGTTATCCAGCGTAGATGAGGTGGTGCTGGCCGCCTTTGCCGAGAAGGGGCTGCTTCCGCCCAAGGAGGTGGTGCTGGCCGTCTTCGCCGAGAAGGGGCTGCTTCCGTCGAAGGAGGTGGCGCACTGGAGGGTACAGCACGTCGCCGGCTTTGTCACCGTCTACGAGGCTTTCGTCGGGATGGAGCCGCACGTGGACTCCTTCCGGCGAATCTTCTCCGGGCGAGTCTTGTCGGAGGGGAAGACGCTCAGGGCTGCGCTGGTGGGAGGTTTCGCCCTTATAGGTTCTCAGATTGGCCAGTTCATAAAGTTTGATGAGACATCCTCCAGCCATGGCAGCCATACTTCGGCGGGCAGTGTCCCTGTCCAGGAGCTACTTCGACTGCATGAGAAGGTCAGGATCTCCATGCTCTTCTGCTGAGCATCTATAGGTGCGACGCCCTTGAGATATCTGTTGCGCTTGCCGAAGTCGAGGGAGCGGAACCGGGCAGGGCCCTTGTGGTGGTAGTTTTGTCCGGCGGCATGTGTCGTGGCCTCACCTTTTGCATCAGATGATGCTGTCGAGCGGCAACAGTAGCATTTAAAGTAGAAGTAGTCAGCAAATGTAATCGTTAAGTTTGTGGGGAGCCCCCGTGTGAACAGTTTTTGTATTAATGAATACATCAGTTCTGCTTTGTGATAGAATTACTATCCGTTCCTTGTTTTTTATCCTAGCATATCTTTGTTCTTATCCTTTTTCACAACTGCCCGTTCGTTCCGTAGGCTGCAACTTTAAGAACCCGGGCATGGCCCGCGAGGTTCGGCTGCTCGTAACCATATAGGTCGTGGCGGGGTGCGCTCGGTTGGGAGTAAAAACAAAGTCACGTAGGATAATCAAAGGAATGGAATGCCCTTTTGTTCGGGCAACGCCCTTTTGTTTGGGCGAAAAAATTTTTACCATGTGATAGCAAAAAAGAGAGGTAGTATTTAGTATTGTACCCTCACGGAGCCCCCGAGCGACCCGGGCTGAAAGTGTTTAGGCTGAGGTGCTTCACAGGAGCAAGTGTTGAATAAAAGCGGTAAGACCGAATTTAGGGAAAAAACGACGTAGCTGTTCAATGTTCCAAGCGTTGGTGAGAACGTTGTCGTTATCGTCCTTCAGTCGGTAGACGCCCGGTCGGATCACCTCGGTCACCGTATAGGGACCTTCCCATAATGGAGATAGTTTGTGTTTCTCCTTCGTTGACTGGGTCCTTCGGAGTACGAGATCGCCGACTTCGAGGATCCTTCCCCTGATCTTCCTTTCGTGGTACCTACGGAGAGTTCGCTGGTAGCGAGCGGAGCGGATGACGGTCGTCTTGCGAGCCTCCTCGAGCAGGTCAACTATGTCTTACTAAGCCTCCGCGGCTCGGTCGCGGTCGAAAGCCTTCACTCTTGGGGCGCCGTGGTCGAGGTCGGAGGGCAGCACTACTTCAGCTCCGTAAGCCAGGAAGAAAGGTGTGAACCCTGTGGATCGGTTCGGGGTCATTCTTAGGCTCTAGAGGATCGCGGGGACCTCTGCAACCCATCGCCCGGCGTACTTGTTGAGTCGGTCGAAGATGCGTGGTTTATGTCCTTGGAGGACCATGCCAT